GATCTCATATTTTATCCTTTACTACAACCAACAGAAATTTCTCTATATGTTTTAAATATCCTTAAAATTTTCCGATCTAAGATATTTACAATAAGCATGTCAAATCAATGTCACAGTGGACAGATTTATGCAAAGCATACTTACAAGAGGCAAAATGGTGCTTCACTGGATACACCCCAACAATGGAAGAGTATATGGAAAATGCATTGATTTCAATATCAGCTCATGTAATATTGTCACATTCTTTTTTCTCTGTTACCAATCCGATAGAGAAAGAAGCCATTCAGTGCTTAGAGAAATATCCTGATATAGTTCGCTGGTCGGCTACAATTTTAAGGCTTGCAGATGATTTAGCAACATCATCGGTATGTATGCAGCAAGCCATTTCATTTCATGTTTACAACATTTTTGGTTAATGAAATCAATGAGACAATAGGAATTCGAAATTAACCCTTTCAGCTAAAGGTGTTTTTTATGCTTTATTAATTCAGGATGAATTGGAAAGAGGCGATGTTCCTAAATCAATACAATGTTACATGAATGAAACTGGTGCTTCCAAAGATGAGTCACGCAAACACATAAGGTTTTTGATATGCGAGACCTGGAAAAAGATTAACAAAGGTCGAGATGCAAATTGTCCATTCTCACAAACATTCATTGAAATTGCAGTGAATCTTGCTCGAATGGTACAATACATGTACCAGTATGGAGATGGACATGGAATTCAAAATCATGAAACAAAAGATCGCATTTTAGCTTTACTATTTGAGCCCATTCCCCTCAACTAGAGTTCGAAATTCATTTGTGGTAGGAATGTTGTTTTCACACTTGCAAGTTGCACTGTATATTAACTATGATGTCGTGGCCAAACATATCATGTAATCCATGTTTGTTACAAAAATAATTGTGATGATTGGAGCGAATTCAGACCTTTTAATATACACCTCTTAATATATACTGAATTCGAGGAACCAATGGACTTTTAAATACAAACCCTATCCTCGCAAAAATAATTAGTTCATCGAACCTTTCTCATCAATTTGACACTCTTTAATATAGATATAGATAAAATATACAAGATACTTCCCACTAATTGCACTAACCCCACTAACATATATAATAATGCCAAATAAATAGCAAACAATATAACCATGACTCCAGTTATTTGACCCTTCAACAAAAATAATAAATAAAGTCTAACAATTGCTAAAAACAGGTTCCCTAATTTGAAAGAATAATTCTGTGTAACAATATTGATGTTAATTAACTTGTACACATGACAATAAATAACATTTAATCATTGGCTAGATTAAATGTTAAGATACGAAATTCATTTATTTGAACATGTAGTTCACTACCTTGTAATTTGGTGATATAACACAAGTCTATTTTTAATAATCACCCAACCGTTGTATCCAAGCTGACTGATTTGTCATTTTGAGAGCATCTACCGGCTTAATACTCACAGATTTGTCTTCGTGATAAAATATTTGTTTTCTATTATCTTTTTGTTATAAATATAAAATAAAAGTTTAAATTCTAAAATAGCGTAATTACTTAATAATACAACCAATAATTTTTTTTAACATGCTATAGTTAATTAAGTACAAGTTTAAACTCAAATTAGTTCATAATAGTCTTGTTAGTTTCCTTTAATTTATTTTATAAGAAGATAACGGTAAAGTATCCATTTCCACCTTTTTGCAAAGTTTAGGAACCCAACTGCAATTTTTTCTAATAAAAATTTAAGAGCATTTTGGTCTTTTTCATAAAAAGGACCAAAATAGCACTAAAACACATTGGTCGGTGACGTTTGTGCCAAGAAACATATTATAAACCATATCCACAAGGTAGACTAAGGTTAGTGACCATTTGCGACAATTTCTCAAATTTTATAACTTTATTTATCTTGTAAAAGGAGATTAACCATTTAGCTTGGCAAACAGATCTTAAATACAAAATAATGTCACAAAAAAGCGATATCAAGAAATAGAGAGGGGAGAGACATGGGAGACAATTGGAAGGACGAGGAGGAGGAGGCAATGGAGATTATGGGTCAATTCCATGTGATGCCTCAACTCTTGGTCTTCAATCTCAACTACGCTCTCATGTGTCTTGGATGAGAATGACTAGTATGTAACATTGATATGTGAAGTTAGTATTCATCATTTATATATATATATAATTTCTGAACAGGTTAACAAACTTTCTGGTCATCAAACTCTCAAAATGTGACATTTTAGTAACTCCCTTTTAGCATAGATTGTCGGCGAACTTACAAAGATATTTTAGTTAAGACAATCCTTCCATATCAATTACTAAAGTTTACGGTTTTGTTTAGGTGATGTTGTTTATGTCATTGACAGTAGTTATAAGAATTATGAGATGGCATTAATAAGCTAGTGTTTGACATGTTGACGTAGCGGAAGCTTATAGGGAAGAACAAAAACTCGCAAAAAATTCAAACTTGTTGATTCACTCACAAATGTTAAGAAAGATGGAATAATTTTCAGAAACTTCTCAAAGCTCTTTATTATAATTAAATTCAATTAAGACCATGAAAGCTTCCAACTTATATTTAAAGCAATAATTAAAATATGGATAATAACTAAACCTCTAGATAATGACTTACTTCAGATAATGATAAGAATTAAAGATAATATAATCCTAAATGGAATTAAAATCCTAATTTAATTAAAATTAACAAAATCATTTAAAAAACATGAAAAAAATCATTTTCGAAACCCTAAACGATGAAATTTGACTAAAATGGACCGTACGTCGGGGGCAAAGCCATTGTGTTTCGCTCATTAGACTAGGATTTAAAGAAGTAATTTTTCAAGGAATTTTGTGTCTATTTTGGATGAAAACAGTCCAATGAGCAACACAACATTACAATTATGTTTTGCATCACATGTGATTTTGATTCCATAGCACTCGTTTAAATGTTTAAACTCAGAGAGATCGAATTTGTAGGCACATCCCCAAATGTGTTAAATTTAACTAATGGATTCATAGCCAGTGACTTAATTGGAACAACTTTATAAGTTCAATGACCATTTATGCTAAAATAAGTACGATGACTGAAGAACATATTAAAGTTTGGTGACCAAAAGAGTTTTTATCCCATTACGGAAATTTTGAATTTCTCTGAAACCACCGTTATGAAAGGAAGAACTTTCTCTTTGTTGAATCAAGATTAACAAAATTATTTGAACGCTTCCTCGTAAAGTTAGTGTTGAGAATTCAAACTGTCGATTTTTATTTTGTCAAGTGTGCTTCCAAAAATCTGTGGAGAAAAACGTGTTTTCAAAATGACAACTCTATTAGTTGTGCCAATTAACAAGATTTCGACACCTGGCATCATGATGACCATCCGATCACATTCTAGAGACTTCCAATTATGAAATCTTGTGACTCTCTACTAGGAACGTGATTTTTCAGATTGGAGAGAGAGACTTTATTCTCACATTTTCAGACTTGAGAGATTTTCTCTAGGGTTTGGGGTCGTCTCTTCATCTCTCTTCTTCTCTGTGTATGAAATCCCTCTTCTTCACATATTCAAGCCAATTTTGAGTGATTCTCAGGTGTATACTTGAGGGATGATGAAGTTCTACTCCATTTACTTGTGTTAATATACTGGGTTTTTTGGTATGGTGTACGAATTTGCGTGATTCATGTTGGAAGTTCAAATTTCTGTGAAATCTTTGTGATTTTGTGTATAGTCTCTCGGTAGAAAGTGATACACTGTGTATCAGCACTCATTCTTCTGCGGTTCGAAGAAGGCAGTTTGTTTTTGTGACCTGTGTGATCCGGGTTTCTTGATTCCTTTGTGGAGTGAGGCTTGATTTGTGCTTCATTTTAAAGATAAGTCTTGGTAACTTTATTTCTTGTAATTGCTGGAACATTCTTGTAATTTTTGGTGCCTGATTTTGGGGCTTTATAGTGCAACCGAGCTTTATCCATTTTAATGGATGCTCAACAGAAGATTAGGCGTTATAAGTGGTTGCCAAACCTCTAGGGCTTCGGCCAAAAAAATCCTTGTTTTCATTTTTATTTCTTGCATTTTATTTTCAGCTTATGATTGTGTTTTTTGGAATCTTGGTTAATATTGATATCTCTCGACTTTTCAGTGGTATCAGAGCAATCTGGACTACTGGAGCTTTGTGATTTCTTGATTAAACCAGATTCTTGAAACCTGCAGTAAACATTAGCTGGTGGAAATTGAGTTTTATCAAACTCATTGGTGAGATCTTTCCTACATTCTGCAATTAATCTTTACAGTAGGGTCTTCTAATTTTTCCCTTGATTTACCTTGCACTAACAAAACCTACTATGGCTGGTCTTTGTCCAAAGACTCAAGAACTCTTGGGAATCTGAGATAACAACACTAGCAGAAGTGCAATTAGAAGGTCTTGCCGGAGAAGTTAGTTGAGGCATAGGATTGTCATCTCTATTCTTTGTGATTCTGCCTTCTATACCTAGTGTTAAGTGTTTACCATTTTGTGAAAATAATATAACTGCATTGGTCACTGACACCAAATCCCATGTTCTGTCTATAGTACTCTTATTGTGTATCCCTGTGTGTTTTTGAATTCAAACTTGTGTTTGTGAACTGCCTTGGTGAATCTTGTCATGGCTACTGCTAAGTTTGAAGTGAGCATGTATGATGGGGGTGGACTTTAATATGTGGAGCCAGAAAATGAGGGCTATCTTAATGCAAATCAAATGTGCTAAAGCCTTAGATAATTTTTGGCCTACTGAAATATTTGCTACAAAAAGAACTGAGTTGGAAGAAATAGTATGGAGTACTATTTTCTTGTACCTTTCAGACAATGTGATCAGGTCTATAGGTGAAACTAAAACTCCTGAAGAATTGTGGACTAAATTGAAAGCCCAATATGAGCCAAAAACTGTTCCAAACAAATGTTTTTTGCTAAAACAATTCTTTTCTTTCAAAATAGATCCTTCTGTTGGCTTAGATGAGAACTTGGACAGATTTACCAAATTGACCCAGGGCCTTGCCAACTGTGATGAGAAATTATAAGAAGATCGGCTGACTGTGGTCTTATTAAACTCCATTAGTGATAGACATAAAGACCTAAAGAATGTCTTATAATATGGTAGAGACAAGCTTATCGCATATATCATTATAAATGCCTTAAGAAATAGGGTTCTTGAATTAAAATCAGATTTTATCAACCAACAAAGTGGAGAAAATCTTTTGATAAAAGACAAAAATGCTGGTAAATCTAATTTTCATTCAAAATTTCAAAATGATCCTAAGAGAAGAAACAATGACAAAATGAAATCTAAAACAAAGGGAAAGGGAAAGAAATGTTATTATTGTGGTAAGTTGGGTCACTTTGCAAAAGATTGCTACAAAAAGCAAAATGATTTGAAAGGAAAGAAGTTAAATGAGGGTAATGCTGTTTTGTCCTATGATAAGCAAAAATTTGATAACAGCTTGGTTCTTGTAAATGTTGAAAGAAACCTAAATCAAGAATGGATTCTTGATTCAGGTTGCTCTTTCCACATGTGCCCTAATAAAAACTATTTTTTGGACTTTGAACAAACTAAAGGGGACCAAGTTATCATGGAAAACAACATAACCTGCAAAGTGAAAGGTATTGGAACCATAAAATTGCTCTTAGAAAATGGCAGAATTTTATTGTTAAAAGATGCCAAATTTGTTCCTAAATTAGAAAGAAACCTTGTGTCTCTAGGAATGTTGGATGACATAGAGTTTGACATAAAATTAGGTCAAGGACACATAAAAATCTTTACAGGTAGTGATTTGATCACTTCTATCCCAAAGAGACATGATTTATACTTTTTAAATGCAAAACCTTTGTTGGGCCTTTCAGCTGCAGTTTTAGATGATAACTTTAATCTTACAAAATTGTGGCATTGTAGACTTGGTCACATTGGTGAAAAAGGTTTAAAGACTTTA